CGTTTTAGTCGCTGACACGCCATAGGAGGATGGGTGACGGCGTGTTCCGCACTTCCCCCAAACAAGTCTGTCGTTTATTATAGCAGCGTGCATCAGTCGCCCCCCCCCCCCCCCACACACACAGTATCCGAGCGTGGTACATACAAGCCTGGACTCTATCCCTAAGCAGAGCAGTATTTGACGTATACTCGTGAAACAGACAGCTTTGTTTGTGCAGTGATGCTAATATGGGGGTGCTATTTTCACGCCCGGATTTCAGGCGGGGAGACAAAAAGTGACACGCCTGCGTAGATAAGGCATTATCAGGTTGGTAGGAATGATGTGTGTCGGGGGGGGGGGGGGGGCGCGAAGAGGGGCAGGTAGCCGGTAGGGTTGGCTGGGACTGCGTTGGATTGGGCCGGGCTGCCAGGCTCGAACATGATCTCCTGCGGCTCGATTCACTCGCACTCACGTGCCATGAAAGTGAAGGAACTTGTCCAAAGCCCTAGAACTCGGCATCCGGACTCATGTCACATGAAAGGGTGGACTTAGATGACGGCCGGGGACTCGGATTTCATTAACGATCATTATCATCATTAACAATCGGTCTTAACAATCCTGACGCCAAGCTACGCTCCCTCGTAACAGTCCCCAGGATCAGATGAAAAGTCAACCTGTTCAATGCAATATTGTCTACGTACCGTCGACTGTGCCGCACCCGCGACGAAATCCCCTGAAAAGCCCGGCAAAAACTATGCCGCGGTGCCGTTCCGTGCTCCCTTCTATCTGCAGCTGTGCCGAGCCGGAGCCGGCTGTCGGCCGTCACGTCACATACATCCAGCACATGACTCATCGCACAACAAAACCGGGGGGCCGTTATGGAGCCGCCGTCGTCAGAGCACGCCTATCGCGCCTGGAAAGGTGCCAGTTTTTCTGTGTCGCCGCCGCCGGAGCCGCCCGGCTGGCTGGCGCGGGCCCGGCGGCGCGGAGGGAGGGGGCTGGGTGGAGTGGGTGTGGGGGGGGGGGGGGGCGGGAAGCGGGCGAGGATGCCCGCTGGGCCGGCCGCCGCCGTCGTGAGCCGTTTTATCGACTCGGCGCTGCGTTCCAGCCGACCTGGAGCACATCCGAGCGGTGCGCGTCGACAAGCACAAGAGCTTCCGCGGCCGAGCATGACATGCTGGCCTTCCTGGTCTCTGCGCAGAGTGGCGAACACGTGAGTCTGCCTTGGTCACGGGCGCTGTCCGTGGAAGCCAGCCAGGGTTGTGGACGTGAGCGCGCGTGTCCCACCCTGCTTCAACCTTTTGCTCCACGGAGCGCGGGCACAGGGCGATGACTCGTGGGCGCGTGTCCACCCTGCTTCACCTTGTGCTCCGCGGAGCGCGGACACAGAGCGATGAGCCGTGGGCGCGTGTCCGCCCTGCTTACTTTGTGCTCCACGGAGCGCGGGCGCAGGGCGATGACCCGTGGGCGCATGTCCGCCCTGCTCGCCTTTAGCTCCACGGAGCGCGGGCGCAGGGCGATGACCCGTGGGCGCATGTCCGCCCTGCTCGCCTTTTGCCCCACGGAGAACGGGCACAGGGCGGTGACCCGTGGGCGCATGTCCGCCCTGCTCGCCTTTTGCTCCACGGAGAACGGGCACAGGGCGGTGACCCGTGGGCGCATGTCCGCCCTGCTCGCCTTTTGCTCCACGGAGCGCGGGCGCAGGGCGATGACCCGTGGGCGCATGTCCGCCCTGCTCGCCTTTTGCCCCACGGAGAACGGGCACAGGGCGGTGACCCGTAGCATGCACACCGCTTCTCACAAAACTTGGATTGAGATTTATACACACATGACTGTCACGTGGTCAGACTTCCGTTTTATCGAGTCAAGGCGGTCTTTCGTTACTGTGAAAGGGGACGGAGCGCAGTGGCACACAGAAATAACCGAAGTACGCCACCATTGTCTAAGCTCATGATCGTAGGTCGTGAACTGGGATCTGGGAGGGTCGCGAGCGACGCGGTTCATCCCGGGCCGCAGCACCCTCCCCCTCGCAATTCTAGAGGACAAACACGTAGGTCGTAAATAGCTGTCGGCTCCTGCTCCGCGCTTAAATGTGAACATGACTGTGCACCCGCAGACCAAGGGGCGTACGGGCCGGCACGCCCGATGCCTGTTGCAACGCCATTGGCGTGTTGATCAGCACGAGCTAGGCGGGAAAAGTGGCCAGGAAAAGCGCTTAGGTGTAGCAAAAATTGCAGCACGGCGGCTATCAGCGACATTCTTATCTGAAAACATGCTTAGGCGGGCGATTGCCTAATGGACGTGTTCACGCCGTTTTTCCGGCATTTTTGAGTGAAGCCGTTAGGTGCGCGGAGTGGTATGGCTCTAACCCGTGCTTGTGTCATGCCATCGATGGACTTAGCAAGAGTTCAGCTGGGTTATATCCCAGATAATTTAAATGGCTTCCAGAAATCACATCCTCAAGCGATTGATGGACTTATAAATGACGCGTGATTAATTATGTTTGTGGGGATGTTCCCGCGGCCCTGCGCCATTGTTCCTGCAGTCTTTTTGACAAAAATCACCGGGTAATATCCGCACAGCTGTAAAGTAGCATCACATGCGTGTTACACGTCTCAAGATCAACGGCCGCACGTTTTCCGCAACACTAGTGACTTGCAATATCAAAGTGACCTCGCTGTATCGCCCGTGGCACCACGGCCGGCTGCGGTAATCGCATCCGGCCATGGCGACCCCGGCCTCGCGTCTGACCGGCCCCGCCGCCGCCAGGTGGCCCAGGTGTTCCAGCACCTGGCGGCTGTGACGCTGGGCGCGCGCCTCACCCGGGCCGACATGGAGCACGTGACGCCGGTGGTGCGCGCCCAGATCGCCAAGCCGCGGCCCGAGACGGCGCTGCCCCGGCCGCCCACCGCCAGCAAGATGCGCGTGTCGTCCGAGCTCTGCTGCCTGCAATAGGCCGGCCGACTGGCGCCCCGGCGGGGGAGGTGGCCTGCTGGGCCGTGCGCGTGCTCCACTCCGTTCCGGGTCCCGCTGTTTCGCGGGAGTGGCGTCGCGGTGCGGCGGCGGGGCGCGTCCCCACCGAAACGTCGCGTTCAGGAGCAGAGGGGGCCGTTGCAGAAGGCCCAGGTTCCGCTGGCGACTGCTGCTCGCTGCAGCGAAGACCGCTACGACCGGGAAGGGCGCTCGCCGGCGGGTGTGTGTCCAGTGCGGAGGGCCGGCCGGCGTCGTAACGTGTCCCGACGGTGGCCCGTCACGTGCCACAGGTCACGGGTCGACAGCCGGCAGTCCGTGCCGGCTCTCGCGGCGTGGGTTTGGGAGACGCCGGCTGGTGTGGGGCGAGGGGGGATGGGGAGCGGTTTGTGGCCGGGCATCACCGAGGTCACGCCGAAATGAGACCTGTACGGGTCGGCCGGTGTGAATCTCTGCGGCCGGTCGAAGAGCCGGTCCGGGCTCGGGGGGGGGGGGGGGGGGGGGTCGACCGTCGGACGCGGTCATGACACGCCTGTCCCCTGCCAAGGGGATTGAGGCCGCTGACTCATGCCTGGTCCAACCGACTGCGCTGTTGCGGGGGCAACTGAAGCTGTGCTAAATCCGTCCCGCCGCGCTTTATGTGGATCTGCCCGGTTTGAGCGGGTACATTGCCCTAGCAGCTATTATTACTGGCCTTTGCCAGTTTGTTGTCCCTTACATCATCGGATATATGATAATTGAACGTGGCTTGCTCCATTCGACTAGGCCGCTTCACTGCGTTTTGAACCACTGCAAGTAGAATGCTTACTGTGTTATTGCTAGTCAGTATAAACAGCACTAACCAGCTCAAGCCGGCCTTGCAGATGTACTTGAATCATAGACATTACCATCTGGTTTTGGTCCATGCACTTTTGTATTGAGGTGGTTGTGAAGACAGACGCGTCCAGTCATTGGTATGTTTTGTGGTCTGAGTTGTTGTGCTAGCGGCCAAGAGTTCACGATTTTGCGTGCACATGACTGTGTATGCTGGTCCGAAACTATTTTAGATCACGCATATGTTGGTGCAATACATGCGGTTGATGACTGATCAGCAATTTCGACGCCCTAAACTTTTCGAGAAACGTGAAGTGGAGAGAAAGGGGTGTGGTGTGAAGGCGAACAAGCATACGGCTCTCAGCGCATCGGTGCGACCACCGTTCGTACCATAACTGCGACAACACTCAAGCAACTGCGTGGAAGGTGACCGCGCGACGGGATCGCTGGACTGCGTCTTGGTGAATGGGTCTTCACCGTGCGAAAAACATCTTCTCCCTTCACTTTTCGGTGGATTTCCGCTAAGGTTGATTCGGCGTCTGCGGTCTTACTCGGAAAGTTATGAAGTTCTTTGAACTGGGAAGGCGAGTAGTGAGCCGATCCTGGTAGTTATCGTCAGCAACGCAGGAACCCAGGATGGGATGCTGACCCAATCATTTTCCGAAAACTTTACGTTGGTCTCGTACGCGATGACGAAAGAAATGGCGAAAAATGACGATCAGGCCGCCAAACCAGCGAGGTAAAACTTCCCTTACCCACCGTTTTCACGTGACCGAAAATGACAAGAATCTAACAAATTTCAAGAACCTCTAACTTTGGTCGCTTTTTTGGACATCGATAAAGTTATGCCATTCGCTGCACATGTAGCTCAGAAGAACGGAACGAAGGCCGATAATGAGAAATGATGAGACATATTCGTGGGTTAGTCCTCTATCCCTCTCCCTCCCTCTCTCTCGCCCCTAAACCATTGACCTTGAAATAATTTCCGCTTGTGTTTGGCAACAACCTTGTCGCAAAATGTTCATACGCGACATTTCAATTTTCCCAAAAATATGGGAAATTTTAAGCAATGGAGCACCTAGATTATACTTTTTAAACTTCTTCACCCATTTGCTAGCAAATTAACTTTTTTCTCACCGAAAAAAGAAGTTTCTTGTTTTGTACTACTTGTGTGCGTAGTTCATCAGCTGTTTTCATGAACATGAAAACAGACCATTACGGCGCGGCGCGACCACAACACAAAGCTAGTCGCGGTGTGCGGGTGGACGTTCTGTGACTCATGGGGTACTTGTATCATCGTGGGGCCACACTGCTGTGGCGTGAAACCCATCAATAGTCGTAATACCTGGGAGTGGGAGATAACTGCCCGTATCCTAGTCGTGTTGGATGAACTGCGTGCTTGTTGTGGAGTTGTGACTTGATGCGGATCGCGTAAGACAAAGACAATGGGGAACTGCTTAAAGGCTCAAGCAGCTGATGACATGTCACTGCTTCCTGGTGCGGATGTGGGAAGGCTGTCAGCATCTTCTGATCAACTTGGGATTCCTCCCTCATATGCACCTGAGGTAAATTCAGTGGTGCGTAAGCAACACAAGCGTGGTATGCTCTTTTTGTTTGTGGTGGGGGGCTCTATAAACCCCTTTTCCAAAAGTCAGATTGGGGAAGTTCTAGTCTTTGTACTCATGCCACTTAAAATTGTTAAGCATGGCTATAGCCCCACCTGATTTCATTGCAATCGATAGTCTTCATTGCTTATGAGGTTATTAGCAATCAGTCACCTGGTCAATACATCTATGCACCATTTCTGAACAATTTGCTTTTTTGAAGACATGAACACACATTGGAAAATGCAAATGTATAAAACAGGAAGCACCAGGTGTGGTGGATTCTGACAAATCCATCTGTTGTGCCTGGCAACTACATAACCTTGGTGCATCAAGCCTCGCTTTTGCACATGCCTGGCTCGGGTCTGGTCAGTGTACATTACATTTTCACTCCTGTTTTGTTAGAATTGTCTGTTCAGTGGCTTTGCCTAAAGTGATCTTTGTAAACTTATGTTTTCATGAAATATTGGCCCTGTGCACTGAAATAAGTATGGAACATACATGTAACAGGGAGCTTTCCAGTTTACAACCTACAGATTTCCAATTCCTATCTCCTGAAATTGTCATTGGGATTTTGCTTTGTGCTGTGCTGGATATTTTCAGAGTACCTTGTATCCTCACAGTCTGGCCTTGGGACAACATTATGGTGATATTTTGTTTTTTGTTTAGCACATTTGGTGCTACTGACTGTTTTTGCTTGATGTATTTTGTTATTCTTGTTCAGAGCTTGAGGGAATGATAAGTATTTTGGGAAGTTTTTAAACAAAGCCTTGTATACAACATATACTTATGTCTGTAAGGCAGTCTGCCAAAAATCTGTCCACTGTGCTGGATGTCCATACTTAAGTGCAGTGAACACACTGCTCAGGTGTGCCAGGTGTGTGTCAGGTCAGGGTGTGCTGGGTTTTCAAATGATCCAGAAATATTTCTTGTTCTGAGTATTTTAGTATGGAATGTGTGATTCCATAAGGAATTGGCTCTTGACTGCTAAAATTGATTTGACAACACCAAACTTGGCTGCACACTTAGATTTATGATATGGATATGCTATGCATGCAAATGATTACTTGGATGCTGCTTCACCATATATGTTCAGTTTAAAGTGTGCATATTTTTACAGTTTGGTTTGGTGCTCTCATTCCTTCCTCATACCCATCAGCTTCAAGCTCTAAAGCAACAGTTCTGACCTTTGGTCAGGACCAGGTGTAAATTGCCCCTCATGTGACTGAGTGCTAGGCATTGTTTCATGCAAGCTGTTACTGCGCCGGATAAATGTCAGGCTGGAGCATTGCAATACAAGATTAAGATTTATGGCAGGCATTTTTTATGGCTGCTGGTTGGAAACTTACCTGGTTTAATGGTTTTCATTTTGATACCAACTTCATGATGATAAAAGAACTGCCACCAACATACTAGTCAGGCATCACAAAATGTCTCACTTTCTCATAGTGGGATAACTGTAAGCACATGCATAATACACCATTCATCCATTTGACCGGGTTTCAGGGTCCTATATCATCACCAGCCTGTGCTGTCTGCCCACATGTGTTTCGTGTCAGCATATTTTCTTCCAACTTTTGTCACCTTCATTGTTCAAGGATGTCCCGGTCTGTATTGTGACAATTGTGAACGGTGCAGCGACCTGAACCCTGACCTGTACCCTGACCCCTGCCGTGATCAGTGCCCCGACCGGTGTCCGGCTCCGTTCTGCAGGACCGTGCTACCGTGTTTTACCCGTCGCCGAACGTGGTGCGGACAGCCGCCCAGCTGACCGAGGAGGAGCAGGTCAAGATCGCCAAACGGATGGGCCTGATCCAGCACCTGCCGTCGGGCACGTACGACGGAGCCGCGCGGAAAAACAAGGAGTGAGTGGCCGCGGTGTCGGTCGCACGCGGTACTCTCCTGTCACCTCGAGGTGGCACTTCCCGGCGGGGGGAGTTTGTGGCGAGCCGTTCCTGTTTTTTTTAAATGCGCGTGGGCATGCATGTGCTCATGTGCATTGTATCTGTCCTGAAAACAGTGATTGCACGTGGGATAGCTGTAATCGCAATCAGCGATACGTCGCCGGTTATTCACGCGGTGGTACAATTCGCTCACTTCCTCCTGAAATGCACTGTAACATGTATCTCGGGCGCGCCGTGCTTGGTGTCTGGCCAGCCGGCCTGGGCTCGCCTCCGTCCGGCGCTGATCCGCTCCTCTGCCCGGCGACAGGTGCGTCATCTGCATGATCGAGTTCTCGGTGGGCGAGCGGGTGCGCTACCTGCCCTGCCTGCACACCTACCACACAGAGTGCATCGACGACTGGCTGATGCGTAGCTTCATCTGCCCCAGCTGCATGGAGCCCGTCGACGCCGCCCTGCTCACCAGCTACGAGACCAGCTAGGCGAGCGTCGGCCGCGCCGGGGCCGGGTGGTACGCGCGCTCGTGCGGCCCGGCGGGGGACGCGGGGTCGCCTGCGAGCGCGGCCCGCGGGACTTGGGCGCCGCCGCCGGAGGGTGTCGGCCTGGGCCCTTGCGCCGCGCCATCGGTCTGAGGCCGGCGGACGCTCGTGACGGGGCATTAAGGCGCGGCGTGCGCGTCGGATGTGAGCGGGCGCGGCGGGTGTCGTGGCGTCCCGGCCTGACTCCCTGACGGCAGCCGCGGCGGATGTGAGCGGGCGCGGCGGGTGTCGTGGCGTCCCGGCCTGACTCCCTGACGGCAGCCGCGGCGGATGTAAGCGGGCGACCGCCGCCGGGCGCTGTGTGACAGCGTGGTGTGCCTCGCAGCCGGCGCAGCAGGGTGGGCCGTGGTGCGGTGTCGATGGGCAGCGGGCTGGAGCTGACGGGGGCTCGAAATGGCTGAAACGGGCTAGCTCGAGCTCCCGTTGGGTGGAGCGTAATTGGAACGTCACTCGCGGGCGCTCCCAGGCTGAGGATTTGTGGTCTTTCTTCAGTTTTTGCACCTCTCGAATGCTTCGTAGCGGCGTCGTTTATTTGTGTCTGTTAGCTATATATATATATCCTAACTCAGCGCTGTTAATGTGGACAGATCTCCCGCACGGTTATTCTCATTGCTTTATCGTGTTCGTGATAGAGTGGTGTGGCATGATGTGGCATCTCGGAGTGGTTTATGCTGGAGGAAGAAGCCAACGGCTGTATTATGGCTTCGACTAGTCGCAACGTATGGAACGGACATCACTGTACTGTGGGCAGTGGCATAGAGTTTTATTTATTTATACTCGACTCCTTTTATCGGTTCATGATATTTCCCTGGAGCTGTAGGCTGGGGTCGCTGGTTTTGATTGACGCCGGGAGTGCGTGTCGGCCTGCGAGCTGGCACGTGCGAGTGCAGGAAATCCCTGTGCGGCCACCCCGCACGCACTGGTGGCCAGCGGCGGCACGAGCGAGAGTCTTTCATAGCCCCGGGCGCGGCGCGGGCGCGCGCCAGGGGTGCGCCGGCCGCCGCCGCGTCCGCGTGAGTCCTCCCTTCCTCACCCTGTCCCGTCCCTGGCGTGCGTGAGTGAGTATGGCTGTGTGGGCTGGCTGCGGACGCGCCGCTGATGGGAAGCGACGGACGGCCCTGGGACGGCCGCACCCGCGGTCGCCCACTGTTTTGTGTACGGGACACGATCCTACGTAGTCGACGCGGCGCCTTTGTAGCCGGTTTCGTAGCAGAGTGGCACCGGAGATGTAGAATAAGTGTACCTGAGGACGGGCGGTGTGGGCAACGTGTCGCGGTCCAGCGCCGCCCTCCACGGCCAGGCAGCGCTTGTTGGTCAGCCGGGGCGCTTTTGAAGCTACCGCGGCGGCGAGTTCAGATGCAAGTAGAGCATTCCAACCCCACATGCTGGAGAAGACTAGGTTCAACATCACAATATCACGCCATCTTGTAATTGTCCCGCCTCGATCTAAGGCAAGGTATGTTCTGTTGGCAGCCGGCTGCTGTCGGTCGCGGTCGACCACGCACATTCGTCCAGATTTTACGGAAGCCAACTGACATGTACCGGATGACTTTGACTCCCGTCCGTTGATAATGAAATAATCACGCCGACACCCCAGGACAGGCGGACTGACACCGAGTCTTGCGTACCGAACGCAGGCGTGAACGAGCTGAGGGAGGCGCTGAAGGCGAACTAATGCGGTCGTGTGTGGTAGTGCCCTTATCCGAGACGGCTGTCGGCGGCTATCGCAGATTAAGCGTAGTTGCGTATGCGTCGCGTGTTGGTCTAGTCTAAGCCTGTGAGGTTACCGACAGATATGCCGCCACAACCATGTGACTTCAGCGGAACTCGTTTCCACGGTGCAGTAGCAGACCTGCCTAACTAAACAATGCGGCACGACATCGCGCGTTCGTCTGTAGAGTCGTTCTCCGTATGGCCGGACGGAAGGTAAAGTTGAGTCCACACAGGCAGGGAGAGAGTCGTGATCAGTCATCAGCTAAGGTCAGGCATGATTCGCAGGAGGGTGTACCGCCGTACATCAAGGTCGACCAGATTTTGACGCACAGGCAACCCGTTGAGAAGATGGCAACGCAGATGGCTTTTGACGCACCGGCAACCATTGAAGATCATGGACAGAAGCTTTAACAGATGTCTCGAGAGTCTTGCCGGGCTGTTTCGCAGTAAGTGCGGTGTCAGCGCTTCGACTGCTACTAAGTGCGGGCGTCGTCCGCCGAAGTATGAGTTGAGGCACGGGTATGGTCGTGAAAAAGAGCACCGGTCTTCTGCCCACAACGTAACTCATTCCTTGGCCGGTAATGTGAAGTTGTGGCAGCTACAGTGGCCCACTGACCACCGTGTCCTGTCACACAGGCCTTGCGCATTACCTCCTCAATCGCCACTTCTCGTGTTCTCGGAGGTGGCGCGCTAGTCAAGCCCCGCCATTATATAGGTGGCAGCAGCAGCGGCGCGACTGCTTGCGCCGCGGCCACTGGCGGGCACATGGTGCCTCCGGAGCTCGCGAGGATGGGCTCACTATGTGCACTCTCATACTGCGTTTAAAAGAATATCAAATCTTGCAGGACGCAATAAAATGATTATCCTCTTGTGATTATCTGACAATATCATAGTGATGAATGATCAGCGAAAATTGACACCAAATGTATTCCAGAAGTGCAAATGTACTAGTTTTTGAACAGCATATGGCCTTCCTCCACGTACGTTCTGGTCGCTTGGACCCAGATTCACTTTGGCTGTTTGAGGAACTCTAGGGTTTTCGTAATTTCCACCGCTGTCAGCGTCACGTCTCCGTTTTTGCTGCCGTGAGGCTGCTACGTTCCTCTCCTCGTACATTTCATCGCACTGCTCGTTTTTGGGCATTTCGCGGCCACCAAGCCTTTTGTATTATCGGCAGATAACATCCTTATTTCACTTTTTGATGTGCTTTTAACTGGTCTCACATGTTCTTGATGGTCGCGTGGTACAACTGCTTCGTTCCGATTATCTGTTATTCGCAGGTGTAAACATACAAATAATTTGGCGAAAGCCATTTTCACGTAAACGTCGAGCCTCGTGCCCACAGTATGGCAGCCAGGCAATGCATTAAGTATTTTGCTTCCTTGTCTAAGCCTGCTTCGCAGCTCTACGTGCAGTGGAGCCGGCGCCCCGCCGCCGACACCGGCCGGCCGCGAGGGGTCGCGCGAGCCGTGCGTGCGACGTCGGGCAGCAGTGCGTGCGCCGTGCTGGGCAGCGCCCTGCCCCGCGTGCGGCCCCTCGCTGCGTGTGCTCAGGTGGCCGACGGCGCGCGCGAGTCAACGGCCGCATGCGGTCTGCCCAAGTGCGGGCCGGGCCCGGCTGGCCGCGAGTTTATCTTCCCTGCCGGCCGCGCGCCCTCCCCTGCTCCGGGCGGCGGCCGTGCGATCAATACGGCGCTTCGCCGACCGGCCGCCGGCGGCGCTAGCGTCGCCGCCCCCCGCGCCCCGCCGCCGCCGGCGCCCTCCTGGTGGGGCACATGAGACGCTGGTCCGCGCCGCCCGCACGATGCAAAACGCCAGTTCGTTATCATAGGAGGTAACTGTTTGGAAATTGCTCCCTCCGTAATGGCACAATGTTGTAAATAGCGTAATGAATGAGCCCCAATGACGCATGGTCGGCTGGCCAAATGTTTGAACTCGCGTCGCCATGACAACCGGCATACACACAGGTGCTACCCGAATCACCGGAACCAAGTTGGCTTCAAATTATAAATTGCATCGGAGTCTACGACAAAGGCGACATTCCATGACCACATAAACATCCAAATTGAATGGGCGAAACGTGACCGCGAGCAAGCATAGCCCGCCCTCAGCGCGGCGATTGTCACTGTCCTCCGCGTGCCGCACAAGCTGAGCCACGCGTGCTGTCGTAGCCACTGCATCAGAACGGTCGCCATGTTCAGAGCGTGTCGCCATTGCCACGGAGCGGCACGCGGCGCGCAGCTGGTGGCGCCGGGCGGTCCGGGCCGACGGTTTGTAGCTCTGCGTGCCGGCCAGCCGACGGCCCACGCGGCGGCCAAAGCCACCGCCGGACAGGCGCCGTACAGCTGAGCAGGTGCTGAGTCAGTCACCATGCAACCCCGGGCCGCCGCCATTCCGGCCCGGGCTTCAGGAGCGTCGGCCCTTTGACTCGCACGGCGTGACGGCGCACGTGCCGCCCTGCTGCCCGCCGCCCACTGCCCGCCGCCCGCTGCCGGCTGCCCGACGCTCGCTAGCGGCGGGCAGCCGCTGGCGGGTGGAGACCGTCTGGCGTTTACAGACCAGCCGGGCCTCGCGCCAAAGCCTAGCGCACACACAGCGGCGATAGCGGCCGGCCCTGGGCTCGTAAATCGCAGCGGCGCCCTGGCGCGGTCTGCTGGTGGGCCGCCGGTGACGACCAGCGGCGCCCCAGCAGGGTCTGCTGGTGGGCCACCGGTGACGACCAGCGGCGCTCCAGCAGGGTCTGCTGGTGGGCCACCGGTGACGACCAGCGGCGCCCCAGCAGGGTCTGTTGGTGGGCCACCGGTGACGACCAGCGGCACCCCAGCAGGGCCTGTTGGTGGGCCACCGGTGACGACCAGCGGCGCCCCAGCAGGGTCTGCTGGTGGGCCATCGGTGATGACCAGCGGCGCCCCAGCAGGGTCTGCTGGTGGGCCACCGGTGACGACCAGTGGCGCCCCAGCAGGGTCTGCTGGTGGGCCACCGGTGACGACCAGCGGCGCCCCAGCAGGGTCTGCTCGCGGGCCATCGGTGACGATTCGTCTTCCGGTGGCGGGAGAGGGTCAGACTTGGGCAGCCGGCAGGGTCAGCTGAAGATCTGGTCTGTACGACATTTTTGGACCGGTGGAGCACACTTTGGCTGTGATGACTAAGTCATGTTGACGCGCATTCATCGCAACTCCGCCTTCTGCTCTTGCCACGTGAAAAGTACGCAAAATGTTCGATACGTGACGTGTGCTGGCCCAAACCTCGTGCCTCGGCTGCTGGCTGGCGCGGTTTCTGGCGGTGGCGCCGGCGTCGG